CATCGCTTCGTTTCCTGGTCGAATCGATTAATCGACTGGCCAACCAATCAACTAATCAACTAATTAGTCAATTAGTCGATTAGATGAATAGAACATTATTATTATTACGTAGTGTTGGTTGTCAAAATCGATTAATATCATGTTTGTTATAAATAATGGCGATTTAGAACTCAATTATTCTCACGTGTTTATCTTGATCATATGATAATGTTTGTTTACTCGTATGACAATTTAAATGACGATCTCTGCACAATACAGACAATACAGACGCCCTATCGCAGATTCTCAAGAGTTCTTCACTTCAGTAAATATGTCGAATTTTGAAGTTCCTAGATGTTATTGCAACAGACCTGCTATTAAAAGGATTTCAAACTCCCAAGCGAACCCAGGTCGAGTTTATTACCAATGTGATACCGGTAATTGTAACTTTTGGAAATGGGAAGATGAATTAACAAAACTCAATAGAAATCTCCGAGACATTACATTAATTTCAAACAGCAGAGAAATGCCCGTTTCAATAACGACTCTAAAGGCTCCACCAAGCCTAAACAATAGACTAACAAATGAACTAACAAATGGACTAATAAATGGACCAACAAATGGACCAACAAATGGGCCAACCAATGGATTAGTCAATGAACAAATAAATAATAGACATTTTTCTACGAATTTGAGTAACTCATCCGGAGAGAGCGAGGTCTTTGTTGAAGCTAGTTCATTTGGGCAAAGTGCGGCAGTTCTTACACCAGCAAATAAACAAGAACAGGTAATTGAAGCAAAAAAGGCAGAAATTAAGTTTTTAAGAACTCAAAATGAAAAAATGAAGATTGAGATTGAAAAAATGAAGATTGAATATGAAAAAATGAAGATTGAAAATGAAAAAATGAAAAATGAAAATGAGAAAATTAAGAATGAAAATGATCAAATTAAGAATGAAAATTATCAAATTAAACAAATAAATGATTTATTAGAAAAGAATAAAATAGAACTTTCTGAAGGAATTACTTTTTTAGAAATAGAGCTAGAAAAGAAGAATAACATTGTTGACACTCGAGAGATCGACCATTTAAGATTACAAAACAAGGAATTGGAAAATAAAATTTCCGATTTAAACGGTAAAAATGCTCAACTAATACGTACAATCGATGATTTAACTACAAAACTAGTTTCAGAAACAGGAAAGTTAAATTTAAAGATAGGCTCTTTAGAAAGAGAAATTTGGGATTTAAGACAAAGAACCAAATTGAAAGATGAGGGCAACAGCAATCCTTCTTTAGGATCTGAAGACATACATTTTTATAAAAAGGTCATCGAAGACAACTCAGATCTAAAGGAACAATTAAGAACAACTAAACAAGAAAATTCCGATCTCAAGGAACAAATAAGAACAATTAAACAAGAAAATTCCGAACTTAAAAGTCCTCATCAGGTGGATAATTTGTATCTTATGATCGATAGACTGACCAAACGTACAAACGAATTAAATGATGAAAACCAGACTTTGGTAAAAGAGAATCAAGAATTAAGAAAAGAAAATAAAATTTGGAAAAATTCCAAACGTTTAAAAAATAACGATTTGTAGGGGTGGGGTCGGCTTAAGCAAGCCCGGTTTGGCTCAAGCCAACTCAGGTAAGTTGGCTCAAGTAAGTTGGCTTAAGTTGGCACAAGTAAGTTGGCTTAAGTTGGCACAATGATTAATATAAATAAAAGTTATTTTTGTATTATTAATGATTGTTTGGATTGTTATAACAATAATATCAATGTTATCAAATTTTTTTATTTGATTCTTGCCTGACATGATTGATGTGTTTAATATGTGCGTTCTTGTCAGCTAATAAATCTTGACAAGAAATATAAAAGCGGCTCCAAATATAAAATAAATTTTTATAATAACATATTACATGAATAG